GTTTCAACTCCTCAGTGGTCCCGTGGTCGGCCAAACCTCTGTGACAATTTTAATAGCATCTTTCAAAGGCTTCATACTTTTTAGGGCACGCTTAGAAATTCCGCTGTCCTCGTAGTCAAAGTAAACGAAGCCTCAGGGAGAGTCCAATTTCATTCCTTTCGATTTCTGTTAGTCCTGAAGCTTAAGAGCAAACTCTAATGGTGTCACGAACCGCCGGTTCAATGTCTGAAGACGATTCGGGACATAAGTCGCGCATCTGACAAAATTCTGTGAGTAACATGGTCTTTTGTGGATATGGAATAAAAAGCCTCCCCTTTAAGGGGCCAATGGTTACGCCAGAGCAACAGTATCTACGCGCGGTGCGAGAGTTATAATTTCTGGGCATCATGAGGCTCACCTGAGGATTCTAAAAGAAGAAGCCAATGTGTGTAACTAAGCGGGAAAATTCCACCGCAGTAATCCCGATCAGAATCTGCAGTGACAGCCATGCTGCTCTAAAAGCTTTGGAAACCGCTCGCACCTCTTCAAAAATAGTCGTGGGATATAAGTCGAGGCTGAACTCCGTTACAAGGAGGAATGAGCTTGTGTGGGGGCCAGTACACTATGGTGTTCAAGGCAACGAACTGGCTGATGAATCTGCGAACTACGGTTCTCATGATCGTTAAATTGGACCGGAGCCAATTTTAGGGCCAACCATAGCGGGAACGATCCAGTACATCAAATATCGTTAAAAATAAAACTAATGAGAGCCGTTGGTGTGGTATTGACACATGCAAAATAACAAAGGGCTTCCTGAAAAGGCCTGACAGGGTAGTACCAAAATTTCCCCTCAGACAAAGAAGGAGTGATCCACATGGGGCACAATCCATGGAGCCGACATGCGGTCACTATAGGCATTATCTACGATCCTTTATGTACATCTTATTTAGAGGATGAAGATAGTACAGAAAATTTTCTCAACCGCTGTCCGGCCTTCTCCAAACTTAGATGGTACATTTTTCGTCGCATGACGAGTTACATTCCCTTCCCTCAACAAACTGCTAATATTGATAAAGAGGTCTGGTAAATTTGCAGCGCAGCAATGAACTCCCACCCCACCCATTCCTCTAAATCCTAAGTGCAGTAGGCAATGCTGCCTGAGTCCTTGGAAAACCTTTTTTTCTTGATTTTCCCCGCCACGCACAACTCCATTCCAATCCCGATCCCGATCCCACGATGAGTCTTATTGAAAGGTTGACCGGTATCCATAATTCGCATAGCTGTGAAAGGAAATAGTATCGCGGTGGGTCCACCGAGCAATGGTGTAGACCAAAGTCTGAAACTATTACCCAGACAAACCACTAAAACTGTACCACCAGCTGACTTTTTACTTACAGGCGAAAATAACCGCAAAATGAGTTAAGAGTTAATTCATAGACCAGTAGGCTGTTCCAACCTGAGCACTGTGCTATTTTTCAAAGGAGAGTTTTGGCAATGAAGAAAGAGGTAGGGATACTGAAGGAAATGAATCTGCGTAATGCGCGAATAAACATACTATCATATACGACCTATTCGGACACCAGCCACCCATATTGGGTTTCAGAACAAGATGGATAAATCCCACTGTGCAGTACCTACAATCAGCTAGGTCCAAGGTATCTACTGAAGTTATCTAAAAGGAAGGCAATATTCGTTAAAATTTCTGCAGATTCATGATTCACTGGTCGAAAATGTTTCTGGCAATACTACAGTCGTTCTATTAGTCTATGTGAGCCTTTTACTGACCATTCAGTATGACTCAAACTAGAATTCCTCAATACTTAACTGAGCTGAACTTTTTTTAGAGATAAAGAAGTTCGAAATTTGAAAGTTGCTGGACAATTTTTAAACATAGTTGCCCTAATTAATTACTCCATCAGACTGATGTCCTATACCAAGTATAAATACTTATCGATGGTCATCTGCAGTAACGACACAACTCAAAATTAAAACAATAAAACCTTTAATCATGTCTCTAATCCATGTCTACTGACTTCAGAAATCCTTACTACTTTTTTTACGTAGCTCACTTGAAAAGTTTGTTTTTAGTGTTACTCCATCATTTATTACCAGTATCAAGACTTTGCAAATACAAACTACACAATAAATACATAATAAATACAAAGCAATATAAATAATATTTTTTTATAAGTAAGGAATTTCTATGCCATCAACTCCTTAATTGCACTACTTCATCAGGAACATTTAACTAGGCTTAAGCCTCATTCTACACTCTCTTAACCAAACATATGTGTAAGACCCACACCACCGAAATAGTCACGCTGTCCACTCAGTGGCCCACTGGTCCATTTCGAAGCGCCACCCGTCAAATCAACGCGCGTATTACGATCCGGTGATGACCAGAGATTTGCTTTACCACCCAATTCCAATTGGCTGCCGAAGTTGGGAATGTTGCTCTTAGTCAAACTGGCGCCATGTCCATTAATGTGCGAGTACTCCAAACCGCCACCATTGCGATCGAACTTGAAACCATTGGCAAGGGTATTCTGCGACTTGAAGGCATTCGCATCCAAGCTGTGAGTACCATCGTTAAAGAGATTAGCGTTCAAGCTCTGTGTGAGAGTATCACGCACGCCAGGAGTGTGAGTCTTCGATATGGCAGCGCCCAAACCGTTGCTGTAATGAGAGAGAAAAATTCCACTTTATTGTGATGAAAATATTTGTCAACATTTCATACTCACTTATTGTAAGCCAACGCACCGCCAGTAGTCACTGGACCACGATCAGTGTTGCCTGCAGCAAAGGCGCTAGCAATTAGGTTATGATTTGGGTTGCCTATAGCATTTGCCACATCTAGGCGGGCATCAGCGCCACCGCGTGGATTGCTGGCCAGCGAGCCGCCAACACCCACTTCACGTGCCACACGCACTAAGATGGGACGTGGCGGTGGTGTTGGTGGTGGATAGTAGACCAAATGTTGAAAGTGTGCCTGCTGTGGATATGCTTGAACAACGCTAATGACTGCAATTGCAGCAACAAATGCGAAAACGAAAAATTTCATGATTGTTCAATTTAGTACCCGTCTAAG